GGGACATAACACACATTTTTGTACTAAGTAGGTAATTCATAAATGTGTCTTAAAATGAACTATTATAATAAAACTTGCATTTAAAAGATGCTAGGATATCCTTCCTTAGAGGTTTAAGATAAAGGATTACAGATTGTGTTGGGCAGATCATAAGAATGATATTCGATTACTAAGAATCACTTTAATTTCTCAACATCTAAATCAAGCCTTTATTTTGCAAATCAAAATGGTAGCTTGGGAATTGGAAATGCAGACATTTTAATTTATTTTCCCAGCTGATACGGTTTGGCAGTGTCCCCACCCAAATGTCATCTTGAATTGTACTTCCCATAATCTCCGTGTGTAGTGGGAGGACTTGGTGGGAGGTGATTGAATCATGGGGACAGTTACCCCCAGTGCTGTTCTTGTGATAGTGAGTGAATTCTCACAAGATCTCATCGTTTTATAAGGGGCTTTTCCCCCTTTGCTAGGTACTTCTCTCCTTCCTGCTGCCCTGTGAAGAACGTGCCTTTCTTCTTCTTTATCTTCCATCATGATTGTAAGTTTCCTGAGGTCTCCCCAGCCATACAGAACTGTGAGTCAATTAAACGTCTTTTCTTTATAAATTACCCAGTCATAGATAAAGAAAGTGTGGTACGTATATGCCATGGAATACTATGTAGTTATAAAAAAGAATGAGATCATGTCCTTTGCAGGGACATGGATGAAGCTGGAAGCCATCATCTTCAGCAAACTAACACAGGAACAGAAAGCCAAATACTGCATGTTCTCACTCATAAGTGGGAGTTGAACAATGAGAACACATGGACATATAGGGGGAACAACACACACCAGGACCTGTTGGGGAGTGGGGTGTGAGGGAAGGGAGAGCATTAGGACAAATACCTAATTCATGCAAGACTTAAAGCCTAGATGATGGTTGATAGGTGCAGCAAACCATCATGGCACATGTATACCTATGTAACAAACCTGTATGTTCTGTACATGTATGTAGGAACTTAAAGTAAAATTTTAAAAGATAAAAATAAATTACCCAGTCTTGGGTATTTCTTCATAGCATAGCAGCATGAGAATGGACCTGTACACCAGCTTTGTTGCTTACTGGCTGTTGGACCTTAACATGTTTGCTGTTTTCCCATCTGTGTCTGAAAAAGGTAGACTAGTTTAACAGCCTTACAGATCCCAATCTGCTTTACAGTTCTATGCTGCCAATGTCTCAGAAGCTTTAAATATTATTAGTTGTATCATACCTAAAAGAGTGATCATTTTGATTAGTTATTTCCTTTTTGGTTGCTTTGTTCGTTTATTTTTAATTTTGGAGTACTTCTAGCAGCTGCCACTAAGCATTATAGAAGAGGCATTTAGATGATGTATTCATCTTATTAAAGATTCCATCAACGTTTTAACACCACATTCCCCAAGAAGTGTTCCTTAACATGGTAATGTGTTACATGTTGAAAAATTGATTCCACTGTCAAATAAGTTTGGAAACACTGGGTTAAACTAGGGAAAAAGAGCCATCTTTATGCAATGCTAATTAGGGCTTTAGCATGTTAATGAGAATTGAGAATCTACAAGAACCAAGGTAAGACACAATTGCAAAATTTCCTAAATTTATTTGACCACAGAATACTTTTGGGGTGAAATATTACAAGGGGCTGGTGTTCTAAGAGAAGTACTGAACCCAAAGTGGAAATTAGACCCTTATATTTACACAGTGTTTTTCAAGTGGGGCACCGAACAAAACAGGGAGGTAAAAACTGTCATAATTTAAATATTCTTATGTCTGGAGAAGATTTCTGGCCTATGACAAAAAATCTGACTTTTTTCAACATGAAGAACAGGAAAACTATGGGGAAAATTCTTACCTGCATAATGGGATACACTGCAGAGGATTTATCCTTGGTAATTAAACCAACACAGTTCCAATGTGTAGTAAGAAGGGGATGGCCTGCAGATTCGGGACCTTAACAGTGGAGATATTTTTAGATATATTCAATACTTGAATTAAACGCAAAACATAGCTGACTATATAGAAGTGTTGAAAGCTCAGCATTTATACTCAAGTAAGCAAATTGCAGCATTCTGCACCAGCATCAAATTCTGAGTGTTTTTCACCTAGATATCCTTCTGCAATTCAGTTTAAATGGTAGAAAATTAAATGTTACATCCTCCCTAATAAAGGTGGACACATAGAAGGCAAGAATGCCAAAGAGATTATTGGAAATTCATGATGACCAATAAGCCAAATTATACCAGAATTTTTATTTCTCAATACAACATTTTAGGTAAACAAATATTTATGTCAGGCTATTTATACAGTCTTTGAAAGTGAAGAGTTTGCTTACAAGAACATCTTCTGAAATGGAATAATGTGTTTTGATCTTTGCAGGATAAAAATAAATAAATAAATAAATAAATGAAAATGTTGCCTTAAGGCCCTAAAGACAGCCATATGCTTTTGCATACATTTTCACAACTCAGCAGCTGCTCACTGAACCTCTTCCATTTCAAGTTTTCCTGTTGACCACTCTCTTCTGCACGGCTTCTGTGACTGCCGGATGGAAATATTTATGAAAACACTGGGACAGCCAGGATTGTCCAAGTGTTTTCAAAATGTTTGCTTGGCAAAGAGTTGCTGGCAGGCAAAATGTGCTCCTACAAGGGTTTTAGTTAGTGTTTATGCCTCCTCAGTGTATTCCATTTGTAAATGTGGGCAGAGACCTAAACTATGCTCTCTGGAAACTTTAAATGAAGAAACTGAAATTCACTTTGCCTTAGAGAGGCTTTGCACCTGCCAATGCTACCTCTTCTAGATCATTTTAATGGATTCATAGGCAGATGCCTTTTTTAACCACTTCTATAATCACAGACACAGACTGAGACACTTTAAGTTTACTGTTATCTCCCTGAAAAATAATCAGTGAAAGTTTTTCTAAAGAATTGTATTTTAAAAAGGGCTAAGAGACGCAACGAGGTAAGTGGGGAAGATGTGTTGGGGGAGGTTTCAGACAATGAGGAAAACCATAGAGGAACTGGAAAACATGATGCATTCAAGGAACCATAATATGGTGGTCATTATTAGAACATTGATTGTCTCATAGGTGAGGCAGGGGATTAGGCTAGAGATATAGATGAGACCCACATCACGAAGAACTTTCACATGCAGAAGTTCACAGAATCATTAAAGTGATTTAAGCAGATCTCTGGTGTGATCTGATTTTTTTTTAAAAGGCCATTTGTTGAGTGTCTGAAACTGTAGTGAAAACTGGGACAATACTGGACATGAACCAAACAATAGGGAACTGAAAATTTCAGGCAAAAAGTGATAATGTTATACAAATGGAATTATGCAACACGCAACCTTTTGAGACTAGTTTCATTTATTCAGCATAATGTTTGTGATATTTATCCATGTTGTTACTTATGTCAGTAGTTTCATCCTTTTTAATGCAGAGTAGTATTTCAGTGTATGGATGTACCACAATTAATTTGTATGTTTCCCAGGTAAAAATAGTTTGGTTTGCTTCCAATTTTGTGAGATTATGAATAAGAGCTGCTTAAACATTCATGTACAGATGGAACTGTTGTATCCTGACTATGATCATGGATACAGAAATCTATAAAATGTTAACATTACTGTATTTAATTTTAATTTTAAAATAAAATTTGTAAAAGCTAGGTTAAAAGGAGCAGTGAGACTAGAGAAGAAAAATTTCAGATAATTCAAGAATGAATTCAACAAATCATTTAATTTTTACTAGGAGACTAGAAAGTTATAAGAGTATATTTCAGCAATTGCAAGAACAGTAGTGAGCCTCATTCATTCGTCATTCATTTTCTGGCTTTGGTGTGTTTGTAAAAAGGAGAACATTACATACATACATACATACATACATACATACATACTATGCCAGATGGCTGTTGGGGAGTTATTTGCTTCTAATGGCATTGCTTTTGTCAAGGTATTCTGATAGGAACAGCTTCACAATTGATTGAAACACAGCTGCCACACCAGCCCATCTGGAATCTGCGACTTGCATGACGTGGACCCAATAACTTCTTTTATTTGAATAGGCATTCATAAGTTCCTATACCATCGTTTCTTTCTTTCTTTCTTTTTTTTTAAAGTAACACCTGGGTAAAGAAATAAAAAGGAAAGATCTTGCATAGAAAAAGCAGTATGCAGCATATGGTCTTTTTTTTGTCCTTAGCTAAGCTGCATTAGAAACAGTTCAGAAAAGCCTTGAGATAACACTCCATTAGTGACTCCATATGGGTGAGGCTTGTTGAACCTGGAATCATATATTGAAAAAGGAATTTGGTAAATTTTTTTTTCACTTTGCTTTTAAAGGTTAATATAAATGGAGTTGGGAGGCATATTAACTAGATAAAGAGCTATTAATGCTGTCGAGTGAATTAGTTAATCAGATCTTTTATAAACTAACAATAAGCCCACAGTAGTTTATCAGAAGCTTGTCAGCATGTGGAGATGATACAGAAAGGGAAAATTATGACACAGTTGAGGGGATGGCCAAATACAAGGGCCAGAAAGTAAAGTAAAAACCAAGATATGTGTTTCTCCAAGAGTGACTGTGTGGTACATTCGTTGCAAAAGTATCTCAAATTTGTTCTCTTTCTCCTTATCCACACTCTTTACATGACTTTGCAGCTCCTTTCACTGAGAATTGAAATCTTATATTACCAACCACTAAAATCTGGGCAGGCTTTGTGACGTGTCTTGTTCAAAAGTGGTGTAAATGATGCTATGTCAATTCTGAGCCCAAGCTTCAAGAAGTCAAATGTTCTTCCTTGTTCTCTCTTGTGGAAATCTGTCCATTCACCACATGAGCAAGCATGGGCTAGCCTTTCTGGGGAGCATGTGAAACA